GGTGGCGCTTAGCGACTCTCAGGGTGGTGACGTCACCGGGTGGAGCTTAGCTTTATTTAGCTCTGCATAGCATCAATCTGTGTCAATCACCATTATCCTGTACGCTTCTAGTGCGGAGAACTGTCTTTAAAAAAATTAGACTTGAATTTACCAGATTTAAATTTAGCAGAAGATAATTACGCTAAAGGTTTTTCCAAGTTAGTGAAATGCTAATATTCTAAACAGTGTAGCGGTAAGGGTTATTTAATAGTTAAAATTCGTTATGAATTTTATTTCGAAGGGGCACCACTCTCAGCTCTGAGAGAACGTCTGAAGGACTGAAACTCAATTCAGATTATTATTTAATTACCTCGAATTACCCTTTTACACCGTGAGTTCTTTTATATGAAGGATTCAGGTGTCATAAGTAAAACACACACGCTTTAATACAATTTTGTGATGTTTATTTGAATATACCGGATAAAACAACTGTTGGAAATTATTTCCGACACTTAAATGAAGGCTTTGTTCACAGCTGGGGTTTGATGAAATTAAAAGACCGTCAAAATTACTGGTTAGCATGGATTAACAGATCAATGAAATGATTCTATATGCTTAATCCAACCAGAAATAAGATGCAATGTGGGACAATTTTGTTATTTCATCAGGGCAGATTAATTATGAAATTTTACTAAAAGAAATACGTTTTATCGTTCAATAGTTAAAATTTGGTCTGAAATAAAAAAAAATAATTACTGAAGTGAGTTAAACTAATTTGGTTAAAAATCTAAATTCTTGAACACCAGAGTCGACCGTCAGAGTACAGGTCAGCTTTCCTACCAGAAGTCGTCTTCGCAGGCCGCCGGAGATACCAGAGATTAGACTCTTTCTGCTCGGATGGTCTGCTGATGTGAAGTTGTAATCCTCCACATCTCTGACCTCAGCACGACGAGTTGGTCACTGGCTCCAGTGGTCAGCCGGAGCGTCTTCTGGAGCTCTGGACAGCTGTGGAAACTGCAGGTGTTTGGATCGCTGAAAAGGATTCTATCAAACTTTGCCCAAAGTTGAAGCTAATTTTCTCCTTGGAAGTCTTCAGAAGGTTGGGTCTTAGATCTTGTATCTCCTCCTCCGGAGGGGTTCATCACTTACACATCATTTCTCTTCTCCTCTTCTCCTTCTTCTTCTGGGTCTACTGGGAGGTCTTCCTCTCTTGTAAAACAAATGACCACACCTCTGATTTGAAAGAGGTGGTCGATTTGAACCAATCAAAATGAAAGGGCTGAACTTTATCTACTCAATAAAGTATTATTTTAATCTGCTCTGTTGAAAAAGTCATCAAATGAAATCATTTAAGACACTTATCAACTTTAAATGAGGTTAAACAACACAAACACTTTGTCAACCTTATAAACAGAAAACAAGTTTGTAAACTTGTTGGCCTCCACAGGTTCTTGTCAGCTGTAAAGAACAAGGCAGTTATTCAGCTACACCCAATTAAACACTTAGTTCATTACAAAAACTGTATGACTTCTTCTAAAACGTGAATAAAAAGTCTGTCTGTTTTCTTGCAGGCCAGAAATGGGACCTAAATGTCAAAGTTGGAATTCCTTTGAACAGAGAAGGAGCTTTCTGTTATTTAAGATTGTTGAGGGGATAGTCTGAGGGAGGCTGGTACCAGTGGGTACCAGGACATCCTGGTACCAGTGGGTACCAGGATGTCCTGGGTGATCTGCGTTAACACAAACGTACATTTTGTGGGGTTCACAGAACGGGTGTTCCAATATTATTCAGATTTATGGACCCTTGCGTTGTCTTACCAACCATAAAAGTCTTCTTTTGACACTTTCCAGAGTTGGAGATGCTGAAAACAAACTTTAAACTGTCCCAGGTTCTGAAGTGGGGGTGGGATGTCTCAGGGGTTCAAAGGGATGAAGAGTTCCCTGTTTTTTTTTCAGAAACATCTTTACAGAATGAACTGCTCAGTCAGAAATAAAAGTCTGTTACAAAATGACGTTCAGGGACGCAGGTACATCTCTACAACAGGAAGTTGGTTCTGTTATTATCCGATTAGCAGAATTGTGTCCACCGCTGGACGTGTGGACAGGGAACATCTGTTTTCTGTAAACTTGAGGAAACTTTTAAGATTTTGTTGATTCCATCGAGCACAACTTCAACAAGCTTTCAAAAATGTTGAGCTGCTCGATGATGTCATGAAACCTGTCAGCTGTTCGTGCTTCTTACATCACATCAGAACGACAGCTGGCGTAACCATGGAAACATCAAAGAAGAAGTAAGCTTCACCTCACCTTCCTGGACTCCAGATGAAATGAGCTCTCCTCCTTGACCCTCTCCATGTCTTCTTGTAAAGTAATGATCCGGTTATTTGCAACAGCGAGCTGCGTAAACAAAAACAACCAGGTAAACAACAACATCCTGCTGCTTTGTTTGTTTTTTGAAGTGCTGCACTGAAGGCTCACCTCCTCCGTCAGCTTGGTGTTGGACTTTTCCAGCGCGTCCACTTTGGCCTGGAGGTTGTTTACCGACGCGCTGCAGACAGGAAACAGGAAGTCATGAAGCTCAGGGAGGTGAACGGGTCAAAGTGGGTCGAACGTCCAGAAACAAACCTTAAATGTCTATTCAGCTCCTCCACGTAGTTCTTCTGATCCAGGATGGACGTGATCTGATCTTCTCTGAGGGAGCAAACAGAAAGATGCAGTGAGGAAAGCGAGCCAGAACCGTTGAATCACTTCATTAACGCTCAGCCTCGTTAATGATCAGCTGGGTTAACGAGCCCAAACGTGCTGGAGGTGATTTCACAGGATGAACAGGAAGCACTGATCTCAGGCCAGGGTCACGGTGAAAGACTCACCCCTCTGCTGTCTTACTGCTGTGCCCCCCGTCTTTCAAGTACATGGAGAAATCGATGACGCCCACCTGAGAAGACGAAACGAAAAGACGTCAAAACAGCCGAATGGTTTTAAAGCTACGCTAGCCTCAGGAGCATCAACCGGTTGTCCCTAGAACTGATCAAGAAACCAGATGTTTCAGAATCAGAATAAACTTTATTGGCATTGCACCGAGATACAACAAGAACATGCACGTACAGTCGTCTGAAAGATGGGCGGAGTGCACGAAGCTGCGGCTATAAATAATCAGCGCGGCCTCTTATTCTTATTCAGAATAATATTTCTCTTAGATGAGAAAAGGAAAGAAAACATGAGGCGAGACGGTATAAAAAAAAGATCTCTCACTCCGTGTCCTAGACAGGGCACGATTTGAGGCATCAAACAAACCTCCACAGCAAAGCAACATAAACAGACGTTATACATGAACATATAGGCCGTGAAGACAGAGAAGTTTTAAGGGAAAGTCGTAGCATAGTCCAGAGCCCCCCCTCAGCCATTGTCCAGATAAGAGGTGACATTCATCTTCAGCTCAGTTGAGGTTCTGTCACATGTCCTTGGGGGAGGGAGGGGTGAGGAAACAGTCAAAGCATCTTTGTTGTTTTCTGAACATTCCAGGAGGAGTTGAGATAAGTCCGGCGTCAAGGCCACAGTTTGGGTCAGGCAGAACTCGTGAATTGTTGTTTCTGCCTTTAAAGTCTCGCTGGTACATATTCTCTGATGGAAACTCCAAAACAGCCGAATTGATCCTTTACTCCAAAGTCGAGCTCACAGCTTCTCCAAGGTTAATTCCCTTCATGAGTGCTGCCAGGAAGATCACAGTCCTGATAACAGCTGCTCCAGCTCCTTGCAGCAGCTCCACAAATTCAGTCTGAGTGCTGTCGAGCTTCGACACATCCACACGAATTTATAGACAATCCTGAATTCACCAACCAAACAGCAAAATAACCAGTTGTCATCATGAATCCAATTTGTTTCCGTCGAGGTAAGAGGGTCCTCCGTACCCTGACTCCTGTCAGGAGAAACTGATCGATTTTGTTGAGAGACCAGCTGATCCTTCGAATTAAGAGGTATGCAGGAAAAAACAAAAAAAGAGGCTTTTTAAGGGTTCACAGGACAAAAGAGTGCAGCAGGGAAGCGGGTGGGGTGGTGGTGGTGGGGGGGGGGAACGCATCTGGTTTCACCGGAGGATAGAGGGAAAAATAAAAGGCTAGAACAATTACATTTGTAAGAGTAAAATACAGTTTAAGTTTAATATTTGAAGTGAGACACACTGCCTGGCCAAAAACAAAGGTCACACTAATATTTGGTTGGACCTCCTTTATCTTTGATCACATCATTCTTTGTGTCAATGTTTCAATAAACTTCTTCAACGTCACAAGATCTGTTTCATCCAGTTGCTTTAATGTTTCACCAACATCTTTCATTGATGACGAGACACTGGTCATGATGGTGCATCACTTCTCCTGCCTCTCTTCTTACCCTGATGCACCATCACTCTGGAACAGGGTCAGTCTGGACTCATCAGACCACATGACCTTCTTCCATTGCTCCACAGTCCGATCTTTATGCTCCCTCCAGTTAGCCTCACTGGTTAGTGGTTTTCTTAAACTACACATGTTCTTGAGTTCCTTCACATTGTGTGTGTGGAAATGTTCTTACTGTCTCTATGAACCACAGCCCTGAGTGCTGCTGGTGTTCTTCTTCCATTTGATTTCACCAAACGTTTAAATGATCACTGATCACGATCATTCAGGATTTATTTACAGCCACATTTCTTCCTGGAAGACGATGGGTCCCACTGTCCTCCCAGTTTTTAATAATGTGTTGGACAGTTCTTCACCCAGTTTTAGTTTCTACAATCTCCTGAGATGTTTCTTCTGCTTGATGCCAATGATTCGACCCTTCTCAAACAGACGGACATCTTCTCCACGACCACCATGAGTCTTTCATCATGTTGTTGAAGAAATGAGAAGCAACTCATTGAACCAGTTGGAGTTAAAGAACGTGTTGCAGCTGAAACATGATCGTCCGTGCAGTGATGATCCAGGAGGCTCGGACCTGTTTGATGAGCTACATCCAGGTGGAGACTTGTTTTGGGGCCAGGCAGTGTAGCTATGGTTGTTTAAACAGTTTGAGTTGAGTTAGTTTGTTACTAGGCTTCTGTGGTTCCAGACAGGAAGTTTGACAGTGAAATGTGCAAGTTGAAAATCTAGGACAGATGTAAAAAAAAAAAAGAAAAAGAAAAATCAAATTAAAGGAGTGACACGGTTGTTTTAACGTTGGCGTTACAAACAAACCGTCTCAATGAGTCAAAACAGTCTCTTCTCCTTTGTTCATGATTTAAGATGGAGATAAGAGAACGAAAAAGAAAACTTTGATACTACAATATTTATATTTTACTACAAACGTTTAATAAATGTAAGAGTTGATTAAAATCTAAAGAATAAAACCTGATGAAAATCAGACAATTTCTAACTCTGAGAAGTTATTAAACTAACAATTCAAGGCCTTAGACCTTGAAGGAATGCTCATCACCCACCACCAATGTTCTGAACAAACACACTGACGACCACTGTGAGCAACATCACGTGCACGCTGTGGCCACACACCAGTATCACACCAGTATCACACCAGTTCACAACCTGGGATCATATCAGAGTCAGAGTTTCTTTATTGTCATTCGCACCTCATGTGGTACATGTGGTGGAGTGAAATTATGTCCACAGGGTCCCAGTTACATCCAACAATAAAATGTCTAAGAAAAACAGTAATAACATCTAAGATATGAACTAAGAAAAACATCAACTAAATATACACTAAGCACTCATAACATAAAACATTGAACATCAGCACAAACATGAACATGAGTCTGTGAGCAGATGTGCACGCATGAACACATCAACATGAAACAGATCAGCAGCAACATGAAACAGATCAGCAGCAACATGAAACAGATCAGCAGCAACATGAAACAGATAAGCAGCAACATGATATGGTTTTTCACAGTAATTATTCTAGTTAGAGATTCATGAGTCTAACAGCCTCAGGGTAGAAGCTGTTCCTCAGTCTAGTGGTTCTACACTTAATGCTCCTCAACCTCCTTCCTGAGGGGAGCGGGGCAAAAAGTGTGTGTGCTGGGTGAGTGTGGTCCTTCATGATGCAGGTGGCCCTCTTCCTGCATCTGGAGGTGTAGATGTCTGTGATGGTGGGGAGACTGACTCCAACATCTTCTGTGCAGCCTTCACCACTCTCTGCAAAGCTTTTCTTTCTGCAGCTGTGCAGCCTCCATGCCACACGTTGATGCTGGAGCACAGGATGCTCTCCACTGCACACCTGTAGAAGGAGGTGAGGACTGAGCTTCCAGACCAGCTCGCCTCAGCCGTCTGAGGAAGTAGAGTCTCTGATGAGCTTTCTTGATCAGGCTGGTGGTGTTGTTGCTCCAGCTGAGGTTGTTGTTCAGGTGTACACCCAAGTACTTGTAGCTGGAGACCACTTCCACTGCAGATCCTCTTATGTTCAGTGGGGTGTAGATGTTTTTGTTCCTTCTGAAGTCCACAATCATCTCCTTCATCTTCTTCACATTGATGTGAAGGTTATTCTCTCTGCACCAGCTCTCCAGGTGTTCCACCTCTTGCCTGTAGCTGGACTCATCATTGTTTGTGATGCATCCCACCACCGCTGTATCATCTGCAAACTTTACAATGTGACAGCCTGGATGGGTAGCTGCACAATCATATGTGAGCAGAGTAATCAGGAGGGGGCTCAACACACATCCCTGAGGAGAGCCAGTGCTGAGGGTTGTGGTGGAGGAGGAGAAGTTGTGGATCCTCACTAACTGGTCTGTTTGTTAAGAAGTCTAGTACCCAGTTGCAAATGGAGGGACTTAGTCCTAGTGTGGATAGTTACATGGATGATTAAAAGAATCAAATTACAGCAGCAACGCCCAGAAGTTCATTTTAATAGAAGTGATTTGAACCACTTCACATGAAAAAGACAGTAATCTTATTGTTCATGACATGAGCAGTATGTTATAGGTGAGGGTCAAGCTGTGGTCTGGGTGAGGGTCCAGCTGTGGTCTGGGTGAGGGTCCA